GTGATCAGATTTTTCTAGAGCTTGGGTTTCAAAGTGTTCCATGTAGAGGTTTGCAATGACAGGTGAGAGGGGTGATCCCATGGGTGCTCCTTCTATTTGTTTGTATTTTTGTCCATTATAGATGAAGTATGTGTTGGATAGGCAGTGGTTGGTCAGATCTAGGATGTGCTTGGGGGGGTTATATTTGTTTTGGATAGCTATCAAGGCTTCTTTGATTGGCACTTGGGTGAAGAGGGTTTTGTTTTCTGAGGTTTTTGCGGGTGTTTGTATGTAGGTCTTTGGTTATTCGGGTTTTCTCCCGCGTAAAATTGGAAGTGTCTTGGCGACGTTTCGACGAAGTCCCATTCGTCTGGTGTTTTCGGCTTCGTGCTTCTAGGACAGTGGTGGCGAACCTATGGCACGGGTGCCAGAGGCGGCACTCAGAGCCCTCTCTGTTGGCACGCGCGCTGTCGCCCCAGTCCTAGGCCTTCAGCTGGGTTTTATGAAACCTTTTCGCTTTAGGCCTCTGCTGCCGTGTGCAAAAAAAAAAAAAGGTTCAATCAATCAGTCAATTTCAACTTCTCGCGGGGAAAAAAAGATCACGCAAAGTTGGAATTGATTGATTGAACATTTTAGTCCCACCCAGTCTGCCGTTACCACCGCAGCCACGTCCACCCAATGGGCCACACCCACCCAGCACTCAATGATGCATAAGTGGGTTTTGGGTTGCAGTTTGGGCACTCGGTCTCTAAAAGGTTCGCTATCACTGTTCTAGGAGCAATGTGTGATCGCAGCTGTTTCTTCCTTTTAACATATACCTATATATAGGTATAGGTATAGGTATTTAAAAAAAGAAAAAATTATTTTCTTTTTTAAAATACCTTTATATATTAGGAGAAAGAAATAATATTTATATGGCATTTTAGGAGATTTAATTTATTATTTTTGTACTTTAGGAACAGCAGCGACCGCAGAAGAGAAAACAAATGCAAATATGTGTGTGTAAAAGTTTGAAACATGTTTTTCTATACCTTTGACACTGAAAATTGTTTCCTTTGTATTTTGAAATTTGTTGGTCTAATAGCTTTTGACATTTTAGAATAATTCAGCTAAAACAGTAACCCACACATCTTCATACTATATAACTTTTAACAATTGGGATTCATTTACCAGACATGTTATAAAGAAATTGGTCTTACAGTATTTTAAACAGATTTATTGGTTTGTTCCTGAGATACATTTGTGTGCATCTGTCTAGTGTAATAATTTCTTATATGTTTGCTGTATTGATTTTCCTTGTATGATAACCATTTTTAAAACTGATAGAACCAGTGGTGGGATTCAGCTGGTTTGCACCACTTCGGCAGAACCGGTAGCTAATTTTTTGTTGCCCAGGCCCAGAATGGACTTCCGGAAGCAGCATCCACACAGAGAACCGGTTGTTCACATATTTGAATCCCACCACTGGATAGAACTATTAAGGGTTATGTTTATTCATTTTGCTTATTCTGTACTTCTTGATCCCCTGCATGTTTTGTGTATACAATAATGTCTGTACTTATTTTATAAATACTGCAGACTATCAAGCAAAGTAGGCTATTATCATTTATTATTAATCATTTTTTTAATTTGTCAAAACTAATGTCAGATTATATAAGGTGATTATATAGAATTAAGTTCTGCTTGAGTGAACTTTATAGATCCCATCTTAATCCTACATTCCAATATGAAGTATTTATTTTGTCTTACTTTTAAATAAAAAGACAAAACATATCAAACAGCAACTTAAGTGTAAAATGCATGCTGGTTATTAAGTAGTAGATGTTTAGGAATAAAAAAATGTATTTAGAAATGCATAATCTTGTCATTGTTTATTATTTATATGTATTTAATTCTTAAAGTGCCTGCTTACGCCATTGCATCACTTTTTGACAAAATAAATTGCTAATTTGAGACTTTCTTCCAAACAGGAAATATTGTGGACCTAGAAAAACTAAAACTGCCCTCCTTCCTCCACAATTTCTCTTGATCCAGTCAAGTTCATTTCACTTAGTTTAAATAAAAAACTGAAAAGCTTAACCACTGATTACATCTTTAAAGTAATGTGTAGTTTGGCCTTAAGTTCTCCTATAATCCAGTTATATCCCAGCTCAAGTTCCCAGGGCTGGGAAGTGGGAAAAGAACGAGGCCTGTAGTTGTGCCTCCAGAAAGTTTTATGTACAGAAATAAGATTTTCTTAGCATAGAAACAAAGGTGCACTAGCAGATTTCTGACCATTACTAGATAAGGAAGCAGGCCTTCCTTTTCTTGCAGAAAAGTTAGTCTAAAATTAATTCATGGTTGATTGTAAACCTCTTTTAAAGTATAACTGAATTTTTAAAAATATTTGAGGATCCCGCTGGTACAATATTACTTTAACAATTCCATAAAGATGGTCCATGTGTCTTTCCACAGTTTCTAGCACAAAGAATAATACCAAAGCACAGACTTCTCCTTCCAAAGGAACTCGGAGCTCAATGCAGTCTCCACCAAAATCAGCTTCACCTGTTCCAACTGCCAAAGGCAGGAAACTCGCTCGGGCAAAACCACTGGCTCCATCCACTGTCCTTAGGAAAGTCCAGTCTCCTAAAAATATTCCGGTGGTCAAAAACATTTCTCACAAAGAAAACCTCAAAAAAAGGAAAAAGGACTTAAAACCGGGAAGAAAAGTTAGTATATATTTTTTATCATAGATGTGATAGTCTGTTTTGTTGATTAATAACTTGCATTCTCCTGCCCCATGTGTGAAAGTTTTTTTACTGAATCCACTTTTCCTAGATTTGTTTATTATTTTTGAAAGCTGTTTTCAAAGTGTTCTATTGCTGTCCAAATGCAAATTATGATTTGTAAATTTTACAGAATTTATTATTTTAATGTGTTAAAACATATTTACTTGGTCTTAAATTTTGTCTCATTTCTTTAATGCAGATAAGTTAAACTTGATAAATTTTACACTACATTTCCCTTCCTCCCCATGTATATGATTATACACACACACACACACACTCACTCACTCGTTCACTCACTCACACACACAATCTTTTAACTTACTGGAACTTCCTTCCAGTGGGAGGTATTTAAAGAAAATGGGAATAGAATAATGGTCCCATAGATCAGCATGTTTCTGTAAATGGTCAAAAGGACATTTACTATATTTATACACTCTGGTTTTAAAAGCTTGCTGAGGCAGATATTTATAACAATTGACTAAATCTGCCAAAGATGTTTATTTCAATATAGGAGTGGTTGTCGTTTTATGTGATGGCCTGGCTTCTGAAAGCTCTCATCTGGTTGCTAGTTCTAGCTGAGGTCATGTTTCTGCCTCTTCTGGAGAACCTCAAATCAGGAATAAACTGTAAATCTAAAGCAACATATTTTATGCTCGTTTGACAGCATTCAATAATTCACTATATCAGAATTTTATGTCAACTGATATTGATCTAAATATGATTTGACTATTTGCAAAAAATATTTTAATGTAATAAAATATATTATTTTTCAACAGAAAAAAAACATAGCAATGCAACCACCCTCCTTTTCTCCTCCTATTTCTGCAAAAGTTGACAATAACAATCCTCCGATATACAGAGAGACACCTGATATCACTGGTACATCAGCAGCTGTTATTTCAACAGGTAAATTTATCTATTTTTTAAAAAATCTCATGGGGACAAATTCTGATGATTCTCGATTTACTCTAAGGTACTAAGGTGTTTTAGAGGAGCAAAAACAATTCTGAAAGTAGCTATAAGGCTTTGCACTAGATACGCTTTGCCATTTTACATCAATTTTAAAAATATAAAATATGTATTATCAAGTTTTTAAGCAATACTTTATGCAAGCGCCAGTGTATATTAAACATTGTACAGTATATAGTGTTAAATGGAATTCAGGTTGTGCATCTTCGGAAATCTGCTAGTTTCTTCTGTGGCATTATTCCCCCCCCCCCCAAACTTTCTTTATTCTACCTGTGAATTTTCTGTATGTCTGATATCCTGATAATATTTTATTTTTTCACAACTATTTTCTTGTTTTCTAAATTTCTGTGCAACTACTAAGCGACTTTTCCACTTTTTTCTTTTACTCTCTTACATGTTTAGATGTTCCTTCCAACTTCTATAATCTTGCTTTCAAATTTCTCTTTTCTTTTTTTTTTTTCCTCAATAAAATTTTTATTACTTTCATCATAAAAAACATTACAAATATTCCACAATGCTATAATAGAAAAACCCCCATCCCCCACCCACCCACCCCCCGGACTTCCCAAACCTATCCCAGGATAATATTCAAATATAAGTAAACAAATATTAACATCCCTAACCCCACAAAGTATACTATTCTACATGGGTAGGTAGAATATATT